TCATTAAAGTGCATAATTGATGAAGAAAACAACTACACCAGTAAACACTAAGACAGATTTGGTGTGTGAGTCGAGTTATTGAGTAGAAGAAAGTGAGGAAGAAGAAAGTGAGGAAGAATCTATGAAAACAAAAAAAAATTTCTTCTTATTAACTGAGTGTTTTTATACATGGAACTAATGTATATTTACAAAATAACCCCCAACTTTACATAAATAAAAAACACAGCCCTTTTATTCACAAAAATACTTACCTCGTATACTCTAATAGAGATCATATAAGGTGAAACCACACACGTATATCCCTCATTTTTACCATCCACTTTGAGCTTAAACAGCTTATTTCTATTCATCGCTTACACAACCATAGCTCCGATGAAGGGTTATCGGCTCAAATATGGCTAGCTTTGTGAAGGGTTCTGTCATGGACTAATTGCCAGGATGAAATTAAATAGCTGAATCGAAGAATTAAAGTTCCCTTCTCTTCCCTGTGAATTTAAAGGGGGAGGATTCTGAACTGAGTAGTGCAGAGTGAGACGGCGAGTTGAGAGAATTTGATTTTGAAGTCATGGGCTTAGAATATTACGGCTCAAAAAGCTTGGCCTTCGATTGGAACACTTCAAAATTTTAGTAGTATATGTTTAACCGAGTTTTTACTTTAGTTTTTACCCTAGAAAAAAGTAACAGATTAATCAAACAGTAGAAATAGAAAAGTTTTTAAGTAAAATTATTTTGCTAAAAGTTATTTTCAAAATATTTTTATCTGTTTACAGAACAAATTTTAGCCCAATTAAGAAAGCCCTTATAGATCTTCAGTGACACTAAAGAAACATATCTATACTATATAATATAAACGGCTACATGGGTATATGAATTCCTAAAGAAATTTTGGAAAATTTATAACCTAATTTGGTAATGATTGTTTAATTATTTTTAATTTAATGATTGCTGATTTCTTAGAAGACATGGTAAACTAATAAAAAATAATTCAATGGATTATTTATATTTTTTACATATTTCTTTATATATAAAGTCACTACTATGAAAGCACAAATCAAACATAAATATATCAAATCTTTTAGAAAATTAATCTTTAGTAGAAATTAGAAAATTTTGATCATGAAATCTGTTTTTAATTTATATTAAATAATTAATTAAACTAATTATCATAAAATCTTAATCTAATGAAAAATGGAACATATAATGCAGCAGGGCTGTTTCAGAAACAAACCCACATTAGTTGATAATAATAAATTTAGTATAGAACAAAAGAAATTTGCAGACTTGATGGTTAAACTAATAATCTACACACACAACATTGGGAAGGCGAGACCTGAAGCTTAAAGAAAGAGAGAAAACATAAACCAGTCTCTTCTTTAGTAGTACTCCGCATGCATCACTACCAACAATTAGCAATATCCTGAGTCAACAATTTCAGGTATACCCTAGCCTTATCCTAAAAAATTTGCTAGTACTATCCACATAAAAGAATAATAATTCAGCTGTTGGTTGGTCGCTTTGCAGATGTCTTGCGGCCACTGAGTCCCCCAAAATCGGCGAGGGCAGGATGACAATAAAGTAATTTGTTGATGTTTACTCAATCTCTGAATGTATACCTGAAGGCTGTGTGTTGACTAAAAAAAGGCTCTATCCTTTGATCACAGTGCAAAACACACCTTGTCTGAAAATAAAGCAATATCGAGTTCAACAACCTCTGCATGTGGGGCATAATAGGGAGATAGCTTTCTAAATAAATGATCAACTTTTCCCTGCCTCAAGAACAAAGTGGAAAGGCAACTGCTACAAGCAAAGGCTATCCTTGGGACAAATCCAGAAACTTCTTAATAACTTATTTGAGAATTGATAACTAATTCAATTTAAAAACAATGAAAACCCTCCACAGAACAATAAAAAGCTACCACATACAACAATCCATGTGAAATGTATTGTTTCAATTTCAAAAATTATTCTACATGTGATCCATTTCTTCTAATAGAATTTCTTTACCCTCAATCAAATTAAGTGTGAAGTCATAGATAAATCCTTCATATTTCCTAATTTATTCCACACATATCCTAAAGAACATGGTGTTTTTTTCAAGTGATATATCTTTCTAACACATCTATTTTCTATTTGGTTGCGGCCTTTCTATGTTTGTTTCACAATGAATATTGACAGACAGGATCGGATAGATTAAAGCTAAATAAACCAGCTATATGAAAACAGTCATGTCATTGTGTCACTATTTACCTTGTCTAGCGTTATTACGGCAGCAAAGGCGATTGTCATCTATATAAGTTGCTTGAATGCCCATCATCCAAGACCCCACTGATACATCATCATGAGCATAAGTCTTCAAAGATGCACTGCAGAATATATGGGAATAGAAATATAAGATTGGAACCATACCCAGAGATGATATCCAACCAATTTCTAATTTTATTAAGATGGAGCAAAGAAACAATCTAGGTAAATCAACTATAGATTGTGCTCTTGCTTGTTAACTTGAGTAATTGGATTCTTTCATCAAAAACGTATCAGGTCATCTTGTTTGCAGAGACAAGCAAAATAGTTTCCACCACCTTCACTGGTAAAGGCACAGTTAGGAATTTGGAAGATTTATGCTTTAATGCATTCATTCTTTAGTTTAATAAATCCCACTATAAAATTAAAACTGAGTAAGGCATGAGGTTATATTAGGAATATAGGAACATCAACCCTATCTCTGAGCACAATTTATATTTATGCAGGTCCTACTTTCCCATTATAGCATGGACAACAATTAACCTGTTTATATTGATGTGCTGGGCCAAACTTTTGGAGAGTATGAAAAGTGAACCAGCTGCATGTCGGAAATACCTGAATGAATAGGAAAAGATAAAATTTAACACAGTTATCAGGACCATCTTATAAAAGGTAGAAATATTCACTTTAAGTAATCCACTCTACTAAAAATTGTACAAGTGAGACAACAGACTTAGAAAAGCATGAGATGAGATGACTGTAAATTGACTTATGTTCGGGATTAAATAACGAAGCTGGCTTTTAGGGCATGAAATATTTGAACTTCCTATGTGAACAAAAGCTGGCTTTTACGGCATGAAATATTTGAACTTCCTATGTGAACAATAAAAGTAGTTTGTTTCTTGGATATCCATATCCTATGCTCCAATAGGCAATTTTCATATTAACAAGTTTCCATAGAAAATTGAAACATGCAACAACTGGCTGTTCAGCAACTGAAAGGCTGGGTAAAAGTTTTAATTTAATATAATGGGCATGCTTTCATGGTCCTCTATTGTCTCAGCGATGAAAGAAAACACCATCGAACTCGATGTAGTCAGAAAACTAACAAGAAAATAATTACAGGTAAAAAGTATGAGAACAGAATGCCAGAAGTACTTTCAAGACAACATGGGAATGTCTGTAAATAGTAAGTATCCTGACTCCAATGATCTAGACACTTACGATTTCTCATCTCCAAATTTCCACCAGTCAGGTTCGTACCATGGCCTTCCCCTGGAAAAAAAGATAGATCCTTTGGATTAGAGAATATAAATGATGAAATACAGCAACACCAAGTTAAAAGACTTTATAGTTAAAAGAAAGCAAATTAGACCCCTCAAAACAGATTGAGAAAATTACACATATAGTAACCAAAAGCATTGCCAAAGAACATAATAAAGACATGCCATAGATAGTAATAAAGACCTCTTAAAGAATTACAATAAATGAGTTTGAGTATTTGAAGAAACCATATACGTCTAGAGATGTAACAAACAATTGAAAAGACCACAAACAAGTAGTGGTCAGACATTTTACCCTTTTACGGTTGCACCACTCTTAATAAATCTTACTAGCAAAACAAAGCTTGATATCTTAACATCACAAAATGCTTATGTCTCAATATCATAAACGTGAAAAGCACTCATAAAGCAAAACACTACAATGGAGTTTTCTACTTGCATGCAATCCAAAAAATTTGAGAAGAAAAAGGAAATTTTGCTAAAACACAAAGATATTTAAGAAAACTCTACGTGAATCAAAATTCACCCTAACTAAACAATATAAGCAACAATTGCAGAGTAGAGATAAATCCGATAAGATATGTACTCTTCAGTAACCACTTCTCCTGACTTCATACATCCAATATAAGCACTAGCTTGCTCACGACGATGCTCAAGAAGTCCAATCAACCCCTCTGTTATTCAGAAAACAAAATGATACATTAAAAAGATTATATGAAGAGAAAAAGATATATACAAAAAGAGAAGCACGGGAAATGAAAGCTCTACCGAGATCAATTTCAATATTATCATCAACTTTCACATAAAAATCAGCATCCCAGTTCTGAACTGCAGTGCTGAAAAAGAACTTTGCTTTTTTTGGCAACTCTTCTTCAGCTTCCTCATGACCCTCCTGATAAGTCAACAATGAAAAAATGTTCAGGCCAAGCTTCACGCTTGTTTACTGCTCGATTCCAGGTAAAACTCAAACACATCTGACTAGAAATTGAAACAAAACAATGCAATGTGCTGTGAGCACAAAAAACTTTTGCCTGTTGAGTACCACGAAAATATGCATCGCCAAAATAGTCTAATAAATATCAATCATCAAATGCAGGTATATGCAATCACATAACCCAAAGTGTTTGCGAAATGCATCCTTCACTGATGTTTCAAGGTAATATATGTATATCTGCTCATATAATCAAAGCCCCAAAAGTGAAAGATTAGACCAATTGCACATAGCAGTCAGATCCTAACACTTACAAGAATAAAAAAATCCTTTGTCAAACGATTTTCCTCATCAATTTTGCGGTCTAAGCTATCACCTCGATTAGCACTGCAAGTTTTAAAGAAAAAAGATGTTCACATTAATGAAGTCCATTAGCAGCAACCAGATTTGTAGCTCCAGTATTGACAATAGCCCAGGCATAAAGAGAAATAAATAAAATGACTAGGTATGAATTCCTTCTCTGATATTAAAATAGTTCCTAGAGAGTGAGGTAGTACCTCCGCCCATTCACAAAACGTATGATCACTCCTCTTTCTTCAAGCTTTTTTAATGCATCGCCTACAAAAGCCCCAAAAATTCTTCATATATACAGAGCACAAAGAAACACATGAATGCTTGAAAATGAAATGTATAACCAATGGTCTGCAAGGAGACGGTGACGAATGATAACAGAAAATACATTTGTAATTTAAATCTGTCTGTGGAAATTAAATGATAACAGAAAAATTAGGTGAAAAATCAGAGCATTCCGCAACCATAACCTTAACTGACCTCTGGGTATCCAAGACCCTCTATACATATTGCGCTTCAGGCGACTACCAAATCCAGTATAAACTCCAATAACTGCAAGGAATTTTTTATCTGAAGAAGACCCACTTTTTCGCAACTGGTTCTTGAGGTAACCCTGACTCTTTGCTAGAGTCAATTCCATTTCTGCTTCCACAATTCTCCTCTCAAGATCTCTAACCAAAATGCAAGTAAAATGAGAAAGCAAGGACAATCATGCCAAACTTCAAAAACTTAGTAAAAGCATTTAACAGAGATAAACTCAAGAGACGTACTTGCATCCTAGGACCATCAACTTATCTTCAACTGTAAGAACTTTAGGTCTCTATCCAACAAGAACACAAGAAATCAGAATGACAACAAAAAGGAAAGAAGTTAATAATCTGAAAAGTCATCCATACTCATCGACTGGAATCCAACAAACCTGATCGGCGTTCTTCTTCAGTAGATTAGCAAGTAATAACCTGTTCTCCGCGTCCTGCCACAACCTAAATATAACCGACAACAAAAGGTGGAAAAAAAAAAAAGAAATTACACAAATTGGCATCAACTAGTGGCTATTAGATTATTACTATCTGTTTGTTACTCTGAAGATTTCACATAAGCACAAGAGCCTAAAAATCTCGAATTCAATCCAATCTGATTGCACTAAACTCCTTCAGTGGATACAAATACAAAGGATCCAAGTGCAAATCCAGGATTTACATTTTAAACCATATTCCAAAATGAAATAAAATTTTCGGCAAAAAAAAAAAATATAGGAGTATAACCAAACAAAAGGTTCAGAATATTCGGAGATAAGACTATTGTGGATTTTCTCGGAAATGAAACAGGGAAAGAACAACAGAGATGAGAAACGGGAGAAAAAGGAACTAACCGGCCGGCGACGTAAAGCCAAGCGAGACAAGAGCAGAAGGCCATGAATAGAGATGGCTTGGAGGAATGTAGAGGCTTCGATGATCTCCATCGCCTCTCTGGTTTCGTCGATGTTGGCAAGTTCTCCATCCCAGTCCGTCCACACAGAGAGAGGGGGGGGAGATAAGACTGATAGTCAGGTTCTGCGCATAAATGTCGTAAGTTGATATAAAGATCTACGTTATTTCTACGCAAAAAATCTGCTCCGATAGAAACGATCCGAGAGAGGCAAACTGTGTGAGAATGGAGACTAAATTAAATTTAGCAAAACGAAACTGAAAATTGAAAGGAAATCAGAAAGTTTGTCTTGCTTTTTCTGCATAATATTCTTCTCTCTATTTTTTTTTTTTTTTTTTTTTAAAGAGGAAAATGCATTTGGATTTTGGACTTCGGCCAGAGCCCATTCAGATGCCGGCAGTTTAGATTTGTAATTTATATATAAAATGTTACTTCAAAATTTCATTTTTTATAATTTATAATTTTAATATGTTTATTTATCTTAAATTTAAAATTTTAAAAATTAATTTAATAATTTGTGGGTCATATATATATTGTTTGGAATTGAGGTAATTTTAAAACTTAAAATCATAAAATAATACGTTAGAATAGAACAAATGCGAATGATTCTATAACTTGCTTAAAATATATTAACAAAAAAGGTATATTTATACGTATAATAAAAGGATATTATTTAATATTAAAACACAAATCCATGATTAAATAACTCAAGATTCAATAAATTACGTTTTAAACTATTATGTATTAACAATAATAAAGGAACTGAAAATAAATTTTGAATGAGAAAATGAAACAAAAGCAACTTACCAACACTTAGAAGCTACCAATATCATCACTAATCATTAACAATCCCTACTATGCCGGTAGGCCATACTATCATCAAAAGAATTGCAATTAATTTACGAAACAAACAAACAAGCCGTAAGAAAAGACTATGGATGGATTTTTCAGATCATTGTATAGCAAGCAATAAACAGCCAATTAATCCAACTAGCTAAAATTTAAAAGTCCGTCATCACTTTAAATGGGATAAACAATCGGTAGTTGGATATAATTCTAGCCTACACAACATATCTTCCCCAGCACATGGAAACAGACATCCTAGCCTTTAACAGACTGCAAAATCTTTAACTGGCTCGTGGCAAAAGACTCGACAATGAAGGAACACCTTGGTTCCTCATTTCCTCTTGTGCTCGTCTCATTTCTTCGGGATCTGTTAACAATATATATGCATATAAGATAATAACATTTGGTCAAAAGCACCAGAAACATTCCAATAGAATTTATCAGAGTATTTTCTCTATCACCTTATACTTTTAAGATAATTGATTCTACTAAATTATTTAAATGTGATATAAGAGTCAAAAAGTTAGCATTCAAAAAATGCCGTCCTAGTTTTGCCAACTAATTTCAGACCAATGTAGAATAGGCTTGTGCTTAAATCTGTATTTAGACTAATGGGCTTGGACATGAAAGAACACGGGGATGATAAATAACAAATTATGTTAACGTTAAAGTAGTGTCGACTCCATTATTGACATCTCCGTTAAAATTTAAATGCGAGAAAATACTCTATTGAAAAAAGACATAGCATAGGCTGCTCCTATGAGAGTAGAGATTGAATTATCCATCAGAGCCAAATCAAGAGAAGTCACAGTAAGCAAAGCTTTCAAGGAATTAAAAACTTTAGTATCGAGTACTTCACCTATGTTCTCCATCAATTTGGGCATTAAGAAAACAACAATCACCATAAAACCCACCATCAAACCCATTGGGCTCTTCACTATAGACATTATGGAGAAAGGCTCCCTAATCTGTAACAGGACAGGATGGTGAGGTAAGACAGCATGAAGCGAAAGCTCAAACTACTAATATATTAATACGGAAAGTAAGACCAACCTCATAATACTGCTCCTCTCTCAATGGCTCTAAAACCAACTCAGCAAGACCCCTTCTGTTCTCTGTCAGGGCTGCCTGAATCTTGCCTGGGTGTCTAGCACTAACATCCACTCGAACCTAAGAAACATAATTAGATCATTGGAAATCAATTTCCTGATTGTCAAAGCATCAAGAAAAGCTGGCTATTTAAAAAATCTTACCGGAGAAAAGAAGAAGCCTATTGCATCCACTTCAATCAAATGAGTCCCAGCTGGCACATTATGGCTTTGAACAAACATGTTAAGGAATAAAATGTACATAAGAAACGATTCATCAACGTTCTTTTCACAAACAGGTAGAAATCTGTATTGCAGGATCTATACTTGTATGACAATGTTTTTTCTTTTAAAGGCTCCTATAAGCAAGAAACTAATACTGAATTTCATTAAAAACAAAAAGTCAAAGTTGATCAGTAATAGGATACAAAGAGAAATATCCATCAGGCCTCAGGAAAGTTACATTCTGGCCACCATTGAGTCTAACTTTCACATTCGACAATTTGCCAGATTGACCAAGCCCGCTAACCCCGATACCTGCCAAGCAACTTAATCAGTCATCAAACGGACTGTGGCGATAACATTAAATACTGTGCAGAGAATACACATAACACATCCACATGTATGGTTCAAACTTTCACATCATTACCTAGAATAATCATCTAAACAAAACCTATGTCAAGTAAGGCTTCAATACATCATCCATGCATCAGATGAGTGGTTAAACCAACTCCCGTAGAAGTAAAAAATTAAAGGGTGTTGACGTGATTTTCTACTCAACTGGCCGCATATCATCATTTCAGGTTAGACACAGCCAACTCCAACTAGTTTGTTTATAAAGGTGAATATACAGTTGTGTAACCTTAGTCAATGACTTCTTAACATGATTGTCATTTCCAGACGCAATGAACCAGGCATCACAAACACATGGACCGCTGCCATGGCATCTTCTGAGGAAACATTTGAAACGTATGATTGAATTATTACATCAAAGTATGACGAATATCATAGATGATTTCTTTGTGGCCTTAGATAAGAAAGATGACAATATGTAGTTCCGAGAGATTGACCTAATCTAACTTGATATCACACTTAATGAGTTTTCCAATAAATAATGCTTAGTAAATATCTTTATTGCTGAAATCTTACACTGTAGTCCACATGAAGAAAGATATTAAGTGCCAACAACCAAAAGGGCATACCTTAGGCGGCAGAAAAAACAAAAACAATGTCAGGCAAGACCCTGACTGAACGTTATTGGAAAACCATCAAACCAATTTGGAGGTAGTTCCCAAATTGCAAATAACCAGCTAAACTGGAATTCTCACCCGATAAAAGAAAACCCAAAAACTGAGTTCCGCTGTCATCAAATTTGCAAATTTGCAATACAACAACACCCACATATACAGGCTTCCTGAGGTAAACATAAACTAGTATTGTCAAGCAAAGGATCATAGTAAAAAGGTTATGCTCAATAACCGACACTATTATCTACGGCTTAGATTGACAGGATCAAACATAAGAGTAAATCAAACCAGAACAGATGATCAATTTCAACCAAAAAACAATCCTAACACTTATTGCAACAATCTGAACATGGAAAAGGAAAAGAGAATTCCGGAACATGGCAAATATAAAACATACTTTGAGGGATCCTTACACGGCCATTTATTGTGAAACCATTACCAGACCTGCAAAAGGTGAATAAGTAAAACATGCAACTGGAATCAATTTGGAGAAATCAAGATAACTTAACTGCCCAAAACAATCTAGTTTTACAGCGTAATAAATGAATAATAAGAAGAGCTTGAAGTTAAAACAATCACGATTTCTAAGCAACTAAACAGAGAACTAGGGATTTGCAAGTAGAAAATACCCGGATGAACCCGCGAGAGCCAAAGAAATAACTGAAAAGCAGAACTGCACGAAGAGCAGCGCAATAGCTGGTTTGGATCTGATGATAGGCGCCATAGTCTCAAGCTATGACAGTTGATGAAAACTAGACGATGCTGCTCGGATCCTCGGGTTCTGAAGTTTGAAGATTTGGAAATATATGCTCCGAAAGACCGAAGAGTCCAAACGGTCCATGGACAATGACATGATGATCGTTATGATCTCAAATCTAGACCGTACGATCTATGATGATGAATTGCGAACCCTCCGTCTGTTGATGGGTCACAAATAACATACTGCGTTTTTCTCCCTAATTCTTAGCAAAATAAATGTTAATCAAGTTCATAAATTATATGTTAAATCCAATCTAGTTAAAAAAAATTCTTCTATAATGTAATATAAAAATTTACAAAGTTATTTTAAAAATAATAAAAATTATTTTTTTTACTTTGATGATATAAAAAAATAATTAAAATATGATACTTCTATCTAGAATTATTTTTCTGTAGATGGTAATAATAGTTTGGACTCACTTGGTCGAATTTGTGCTCAGAAAATGTTTGGTTTCTGAGAAATTTATACTCATCTTTAACTACAAAAAAAATTATAAATTTTATTAAAGTATAATCAAAACCATAAAAGATTAACACATTTTGATCTTGATAATTTTTACCTCTTATTACACTTCAACTAAATAAAAATGTAAATAAATTTTTCCAATATTTTAAAATTTACTTCTAAAGATTACTTTAGATTTTAATTGTAAATAGGATTAGATCAAATCGCATGATGTTATTAATCTTGATAATTATATATTATAATTAAACATTGCTAATATTGAGAGACTATTTAAAATATGAATGTATTAAACAGCTAAATATTGGTATGGAATTCCACCATCATATTTAAATAAAATACACTTTGCATTTTTTTAAAAGTATTTTTAATTATTTAAATATTAATTCGATGAAAAAAAAAATCAAAAACTATGAAAAATGCCAAACAAAAGAATGTTAAGATAAAACTACAAAAAAAAAAAAAAAAAAACCCAACAAATATATTTTCATTTACACAATCAACTAAATTACAACAATCTAATTCATCCTTTTGAGCATGCTTTTTTTGTTTATATATCAATCATGAAATTGGCATTTGCTCAAAAGGGTGGGGGAGAATTGATTCCCCCAAAAAATAAATTTAAGAGTACGAATTAGGGTTTTCAGCAAATGCTACAATCCAAACCTTTTAGAGAACCAATCAGAAAGATTAGCTATTACAAATCCTACAAACACCTGCAAAAATACCAAAGCAAGGTCAAATATATATATATATATATAATTTCAAGATTAATTAATTTCATAATTTCATTTACCCGCTAACCCATTTCTTTAAATCCAACTCAAAACAAACCCATCAAACTCCTTAAATAAATTTAGCCAACAGGAAGACATTGATTTGGAAAAGATTTTCTTTAGTGGAGAAATCTTTTGTAAGTAGTATTTGTATTTAAACATTATAACATTTTAGTTTATTTTTAGATAGATTTAAAATATCATAAGAATGAGAATTATTTTAGATCTTCTCTTTTGTAAATTTTTTTTTTTTTTTTTTTTTTTTTAATTCTTGAAACTAATGCTTACATAAAAAGCTAATGGCTACCAACAAAAGAAAGAGATGATAATAAATTGAGAGTTTTTCTGTTAGGATTTTATTCATTTTATTTTAAAAAAATTAAGTACAATATATTATAGAAAGCATCAAAAATATTTTATATATAAAAAGTATTTACATGTCAGTTAAAATCTCTTAAATGCATAAAGAAAATGATCCTTGATCAAAAGAACATTCAAGTATCCCCCCTGTACCATCAAAAAGTAACTGAAGGAATAAGACCTAATTGTTTAGTACAGTGCTCATACCCCTCTATGGCTATAACTCCTTTTCGACCAATCTAGCCACACTATCTAAAGCCCATCCTCAACTTACTTTAAGCCAAACGCCTCAATTTATATATTTATTGAAATAAATGCCACAATTTATAAGTTAGATGACAACATAAAAGAAGATGATTAACTTTCTCTGCTTCCCCTTGCACAGGATCTTCCATCTTTTAATGAGACTTTCTAGGCTTAAGATGCAACCCCTTACCGCTTCACAATAAAAAAAAAAAGGCTTCTCATGGGGATGCCTTTGATCATCAAAATTAAGTTCCATGAGAAATCTTCGTTATTTCTAACACTCCCAGTCAAGAAGGCATAGTAAGACCTCACTAAGAAGGATCCTCTCACACTAACCTTCCATATAGGCTTGTATAAGGCTTTTGACGGACCTACATTGTCTTGATAATAGATGAATCGAATTTATATAATCATTTATCTCTCAGTCATTGAGGTTCCTTGTCAAGTCCACAATCCAAGCTTCCCAACCTAAGGATGTGGAGAAAGAATTTGCCACCAGGCCTCTCTGTTACGAGAGCCCCAAAAGAATGATGGGAAATTACTGTTCTGCTGTTCCCCACTCTAGCAACTCATCAAACCAGAATCTCGCCTTTCGGTCTGAATCAACCTTCCAGGCAATATAATTCTGGAACTCCTCTATTCCCTTGCCAATCCTCTTCCAAAGATTTAATTCGTATGGATACCTTAAGATTCTTGAATACAGACCAATACTGTCTATAACCAACTTGCTTTCTCTGTATTCCTCTTTTTGTTATTGCTTTATCTGGTCTATCTCATGCAATTTTCTCCTTATAATTTTTCACCTTAATCTCTAATTTCCTCTTGCCTATCTTTACCTAAGCTAGTTTAACTGATGCTCATCCTGCATCATCAGTCCATTTCCATTACCTAGAACCCATTTGACTAAACCAACCCATGAACCACCCATTTTAATCCAAACACAACCAATCCTTCAAATTGCAAATATTAAACTAAAACACGAAAACATTCAGACACAAAGCCTAATCCACCTTCTGACCCATCTAAGCCTCAGCCAGACACCCCCAGGATGCTGTCAAAAGCAAATACGGGTCTTATAGACAAACAGAAAAAAGTGTAATGAAGGTAACTGATTCCTCCCAAATAGGGCTAAGGGCATCCTCCCTCCATCCCCTCCTCCTAGAAAAAGGCAGCAGTTGCAAATCAATAACATAGAGACAGCAACAAAATAGTCTCCTCAGATCATTCTGAGCACAAGTCATGTGCCAGACTCAATGAACCTATCAAATGTCCAAACATCCATTTCACTTAACCTCCAGTTAATAAAACAAATACATGCTTTGATGCAGGATGAATCATCACCTGAGCTGAGCCAAGAACATAAATTGCTGAGTAGTGACGGCCATGAATCACCATGTCAGCTACCATAGCAAGAGGAATGGTGAGTGACATGCCCAAGGTTGCTACCAAAGGAGTTGTCCACACAACACAAAGTGCCCTGAAGAGTGAATAGAATAAATTTGAAATAGGATTCCAGGAACCAAAGAAAGAAAATTGTGAGGGGCTTGGAGGACCAATAACAAAAGGATTGCTTTTGATATACCAAAAATAGTCAGAGAGGACACTTCCAACAAAGCCATTGGCCAGAACAACTTCATCTACTTTAGCAGAATGTGGAATGGTAAACTTGGGTTCAATTCCCAAGGCTGTCAATGGCCAAACTGAAATGAAAATCAAAAGATCAATTATTTAGCCAGAAAATAAATATTATACATTAGTTTGTATGAGAATTTTTCAGTGATTTGTAAAAGAAAAAAAAAAAGAAGAAACACATCTTGTAAACTTTCCAGCAGCCAATGCAAATCACATCATTTAGAAGCCAGAACAAACCCCACAATTTGACTTTAAAGAGTAATACCTAAAGCCAATATCACTAATTCATTAGATATATATAGTAGACAAAAATGCTAAACGGGTTAAACTAACAGTAAAACAAAGATGGTATACGAACAGCAAAAAACAACCTAGATAAGGAAACTGGTGGAGATAAAGAATGATGCAATCGAATTAGGTAATATAAGAGATATTTTGTCCAATAATCTTTGCAAATGCCTTTTTAGATAGACAGCCCCCTCTTGCTGCACCTTGAATAAATTTTGTTTTCCTCTTCAGAATTTAAAAGAAGAAAAGAAGGAAATGCTTCAATAAATTTTGGATGGCAGAATCAGGAGTTCACTATGCAGAAATGAGCTCTTACCAACCCACCAAAGTGCCACAAGTGTAAATAATCCTATATATCCAAATAACTTTTGCACATCAACTCTTTCTCCTCCTTCACCGGCAAACTTCTTAAGAAGTACTGCAGCATAAGTTGTGAAGGATTAAATAAAGAAATCTCAAGATGGCAACAGAAGAATGTATTGAAAACTGAAATGACAGCAGCCAACCTGTAAATAATCCATATGACATGGCTGAAAGAAGGCCAAAGAGGTCACCCATGAGAGAGCGTTTCCCAGCGCTAAGCACAAACATCAACTGTCAATTCCCAGAAACCAAACATAATTCTGCAATATGCATAATAGGAAATTATATGTACAATGAAATATCCTGCTTGTTATGGTAGAGTATGAAGTATTCCTAACCATGCAATTAGGGTACATATGAATTTCCAGCTAATAAAATTTCCAGATGACCAAGCGCAACAGTCAAAGTTTTCAATATGAAAAGGTTTTTGGGAGTGTTATTTGAATGACAAAAGATGCCTTTTCAATCCATTGAATTCTGTCTCTAAACCCTCGAAAATTATTGCAAAACAAGGTCCATCGAAGTAGAAGCTTACCTCGAAGAGCTCAGTTGTGACTCATCTGCAGCCCAAGTTTTCCCTAGAGTAGTCATGGCAACACCAGTGATGCTAACAAAGACTGCAAGTACTTTTGCCACATTTAATGAATCTTGGCCCAGGAGAGCACCAATGAAAAGAGTAAAAAGCCCTGAAGTTGAGGATAACACTGTTGTACTTGCAACACTTGTATGTGCAAGTGCAGCATTTGACAAATACTGGAAGTACAAAATAGAACCAGTAAGAATTTCTCACCCCTTCGTATTGCACAGTAACTTTAATATCAGTAAAAGATTGCATAACTTTTTTGAGAAGCAAATGCACACATGAATCATTTTTGCAATCAAATATCTAAATGTTAAACTAAAAAGATGAATTTTGTTTGAAAGTAGACCTTTAAGAGCAGCACATATACTTATTTTAAGCAAAAAACTGCTACCAGGATAAGTTTATGGGAGAAGCCAACACTCCTTCACAAATTTATGCAGATAAAAAATTTTCACCAATAATTGAATAATATACTTGTGCAAATCAAAGTTAAAGGTCAAAAAAAAAAATGATAGACATAAATAATAAGAAATTTTTACCTCTGTTACAAACCAAATAGGGGCAAGGTAAAATCCAAAAGTTGCAATCTCTTTAGTTGTAACCTCTTTGATTTGTTTCAGCATGTGTGAGTCATCTTTGTGTTTACTGACCAGCGGCCTTGCCTCACAATCAGGAGAAAGGTCTGTTTCACTGTCTTTCCTAGTCAAAGTCCCATGCATTTCCATTTCAAAGATTCTGCTCTT